GCTGCCACATCGCATTTGGGGGCCAGAGGCAGCCTCTCAGCTAGTCAGGTAGCAGATCTGACAGGGCTTAGGTTCCAAATTGCACCTTGGATAACTGCAGGTCGCTCCTATGTGCCATGAAACACCCACTGAATGTGTTCATGGTCACTTGCTCTACTTAGACTTTACATAAATTCCTTCCGAGTTGCTGTCTTGTTCTGTTTCTTTCTTAAGATGACTACATGCCCTGCCTTGAGGCTTGTAGCAAGCTGACTGAAGAAGATAATGTGGACAGAAGTTAATAAAAAATGTGAAGAACAGATGTCACTGGGCTTACCAAAAACATGCATGCCAGACTAAGCATATGGGATCATCATTAGAGGAAATACCAATTATACTGTCTATGAGGTATAGTGGTACCAGTGATATCATTAAATCATTCAGGCTGTATTGTTTCCTGAGTTGAAACCCAGCCTGGCATTATAACAGCTGAGGCTTTTGTATGTGCTTATGGTTTGTGGAACAATAAATGACATTTCAGATTCTGAGTGTTTTTCACATGATAGCCAGCTGCAAATAGCACAAACCCATCAATATCAGTAGACTGTACAGACACAATTTTGTATGCCTAAAGGCGAGTGCTTCCCAGGGGTGGGTTGTGAGGCACTCTCCAATATCAGCCAGTTTCTCAGTGTGGATCTAGGGTGCTATACTGACATTAAATTATTGAATTTCCAACTTTATCTGGATAAATTGCACTTTACTTTCTGTGGAAGGTTGCTATCTATTATTAAATGATTCCTGTATTCAACATCTGAACACTGCCTTGCAGAAGTAATACTTCACAGTAACAGGCAAACTAAATCCTCTACAATCCATACAACTATTTTCAATTTTCCAGGATGAAAGGTATTATATAAATGGAAATAATCATTTTTTCATGTATATCTGGATTTTTTTCATTATCATTTTTAAAAAGTGGCTTAAATATTTAGAGTGTAAAATTAATAGGTCAGTTCCTACTGAAATGTTAGACTAAGCTCTAAAAACAAAGTTGCTGCATGTTTTTAAATGTTAGGTATCTATTTTATATCTGAAATAGGTGCTTTTCAGAGTAACAGAAGTTCATATTTTAATTGAAATGGCAGAAAAAGAACATCTGAAAAGAATATGTTCTAGGAACTGCAGTACTTTACTCTGACCATTGTGCCTTTTACTCAAATACTGCACAAGATTCTTTAAAAAAGTGATCCAATTTTTGAAATATTTTAATCAGCTGAGGTTGTTTTTTGAGTTCAGAATACATCAGTGCTGAGAGGCAGAGGGAATTACAGAGCTGTACTGGAATAGAGCTACTATGGTAAAATATTAATAACAATGATTTTGATCTACTGTGCATTGCCAAGAACCAATGGCTTAAGAGAAAGTTGTCACAAAGATATGATGTAGCTCAAGTGGCAGCTGGAATTGAGAATGCTGAACAAAATTATATGCAAAACAGAACCGAAATGCCAATTCTGAAATAGTGCCTATTACATGTGTGAAACCCAAATTGAAGGTTATGGATGAAATTCAGAACAACAGATCTGGGACTGGTGTAATTATTGTGCTGATCTGTTTTGGTAAATTCTTCATTCAGCCCAGCCTTCAAGGGTACTGCATATGATGAAGTTTAGATGATCTTAATTTAAAGCTGCATGCTCATATAGGTCAATTCCTTTTGGCAATGCTGCCAAAACTCGTTGAATCTTAAAAGGGAGCTGCAGGCTTTAGGAAGTTGAGGTGTTACATGTGAATAACTTCAGTGGACCCTGATGGATTTAGAGGTTTTATTGAAGTGTAGAAGGAAAATAGAACAATACGATGTCTCATGATCCATGGGGATGTGAGCAGATGAGGTATGCATAACCATCAGCCATGTAGAGAAATTTGAATGTGTGTGCATCTGAGCACAGCACCTGACCAACTTCTGCTTTGGCTAACTTGAAAAATGCAACTGGATGAATCCAGGTTCAGATCCACACACTTCTGCATGACAATAACTATAAGCAACATGTACAGCCCTGTATATGTGAAGGACTGTAAACAGTGCTTTAGACAATGGATACACTGGAAACTGAAATTGCTATCTCCTAATTTTATGGCAATTATTTTAACATAAATTTATGACATAATGTTAGAAGCAGCTATCTCATGCCCCTCAAATAATATGGGAAATGGCAGGAGTAAATTTAAAGCATTTTGAAGAAATGCCAAAATAGTGATGGAATGGAAAAGACTTTTAGGGATGGCTGGAAAAGCACTTGGCAAAGGTTTGGTTTAAAAGTATCTTAGTCTTTTTGAGCACAAGAAGAAGTAGAATTGTGGCTAACGTTTAAATATGATCTCAGTTTACCTTTGATAATTGTATAGCTGAAGCTGGCTGGGAATTGGCTCAATTTGTGTGTCCATACATTTTTAAATGATAGATAAGAAAACAATTTGGACTTTCATTTTTAGGCCACTGTGAAACACTGATTCTTATGTACTAATTGACTTACCCTATAAAATGCGCACCTTGAAGAACTGAACCTTTTTCTAATTGCCCTTGTCACATTTTCTTTGCTGGTATAATTTGGCTGTGTGGCTTAGCTGCAGCAGTAGGGCTTCTATTTTTGTTTTATTTCAAGGAGAAATGTGAATGTCCTTCAAAATGTGACTAAGAAAAGATAAGAATCCTGGTTACATGCATTCTGTTTGCAGGAAGAAGTAGTCTTCACAAAATAAATCTTCCTAAAGTAAGATCTCAGCAAACAAGACACAGCAAGTTGTTAGAACTCATGTTTGGCTACACTAAGAAAGTTGTACAGGGCAGAGGAAATGCAGATATTGCTGCCTTTGGCTCCTCCTAATTGCTAAATTACCTTACATTCATCAGAATGCACCAGTTGTGAAAGGCTGCCAGTTTTGATGAAAATAACCAGAAACCTGAAGTGAGGGGTGACAAGACTGTAACATGGAGTTTTTGTAAGGATTAATGAAACCAAAATGAAAACTGAGTGACAATGATGCCTATATGGTAAACACTAGTGGGTTAAAATCCGACCACTGCTGTACCCTAGGAAATTGCAGTTATATTTAGGAGAAAGAAATAATAAAATAAAAAATAATAGACAATAAAATATAAAATAAAACAAAAGATAAAAGAAAACAAAAGATAAAATAAAAGATAAAATAAAAGCCTGAAACTTGCCTGTCAAGTTGCATTTCTCTTACTCATGTTTACTCTTTCACTGTTGTCTCTTCAGCTTTTCCTTTTCTGTGCCTTTCCTTCTGAGCTTTGACAAGACAGGCAATATTGTTACACTGACACAGAAGGGTAGAATAAGAAATTTAGAAAAGTATTGTGAGAAAATGATTGTCAGCACAACTTTTCTGGCGTTCTTCTAGACTTTTAGTTAAAATATTAAGTACTGGGAGCTCCTTTGTAACTCTTACTTCATAATTTAATCTGCCTTCTGGGATACAGAACCAGTATTCTGTATCTGGTCCTTTCCTCCTTTCCTTTGATTTTTGCACTTGGACAAAACAGGCCTGCCAAATGAGTAAGTGGATTTGATAAAAGTAGCTTCTTCATGCCACTGCCTGCTCATGTGCCCAATTTAGTTTTAGGAAAATACATCTATCCACAGTGGCATTCAAGCCCATATTCCAGTGTTTCACTGAGTCAGAATTTCAGTGATCTGTTTTTAAAATTATACTAAATTATACAAATTACTCATACATGGCTTTGGAGCATAAGTCACTTTTTTGAGATGTCAGCCTTGTTAAATAAACAAGACTAACCTCAGAGGGAAGAAATCCCATTCCTTTTCTAGATTTTAGGCACAGGATTCTACTGCAGCCAAGCCTTGGTCTTCCAATAAAAAACCCTGTGGGGAGTTTAAGTATAAATGTATTTTGTTTTTCTCTACGATGGTTTTGGTGTTTTGGAGGACATGGAATTCATGCTCCACATGTCACTGGAAAAGTTTTATAGATACTACTTACTCGTGGTGGCATGGCACAAGCCTGCGGGCCAGGAGACATGAACACATTTCTTTTGCCTATTGTAGGTGAAAGAAATGTGCTTTCACGTCAGACATTTTCTTTAGGATGGAAGTGGATTGGAAATCAAAATGACATTCTTGCAGATTTCTTTCCTTGAAACAGGCTGTTGAGGCTATCTTTGCTTGTCTGAGTAATGGACCGTGAGTTGCACTAAAGTCATAAGCACAGCCCCAAGTGTTCCAGTGAAAAGGTTTGGGATTAATCACATGCTTACAATTGAAAACGTGTTTACTTTCTTTGCAGTGTTGCCAATCAGAGATCATCCTATCCCAGTACTTGCCTTTTATGCTATAAAATGGCTGCAAAACAGTTCTACTTCTCTGACTTTTCCCAGTTAGCCAAAATGCATACATAAGAATCCTTATCAACATAATAAATCTCATATAATGCAGTTTTCATTAGAAAACTGTAGTCACATGTATTTTCTTACTCCAGGCCAATGGTTCTGCAAGTATAGACAAGATAAATGTGCGTCATTCTTTCTGGGATTCTGCACATTCCTTATTTCTCACAACTCCTTTTGGGATGGACATTTATTTAATCAGAGCCATCCTGCCAATCATACTTAGTCACTCTTGGAGACATAACCTTGGCTAGTAATTAATTATGCTCTGAATTTATTAATGAATTCATGTTGAGGACATCTTAATATATATTCCTCACTTATATCACATACTGTACCTAGACTGTCATCAAACATAAATGATTGTTTTTAGTAGGTTGATATTCATGGCATGGTTGATCAGATGCCTGAAGATGTGATTCTGTAAGGGTAGGATTCACATCACCTCCTGGCCTAATGGCAAATTGTATCTGCTAGAACTGCTACACCTTGTAACATTGATAATTTCTGTGCTTTTTGTCATCAAATCCCTATATATTGCGTAAGGTAAAGATTCTTCTTGTTTTTCAGAGCAGCTGTGATGTTTGCATGAAAGTGCTGGGACTGGAGTAGCATCTTTCTGGCTATCTCAGACCAGGAAGTCAAACTTCAGTCCTGTTCCCCCTTTGTTTGGTGGAGGAATTCACTGTGCTAACTGGTGCATTGGTGCAGAAGAAGTAGCACTAAAACTGTCCTCATTTTCTGCCCACCATCTCATCAGGGAGCAAGCAGTCTGGCAGGAGCTGCTTTCCTTCTAAGTGCATGCAGACTACAGCCTTCACAGGAGAATTAATGCCTTTTTATTCTTTTGTGGGAGTTTATCTCAGTTTCCAACCTATGAATATAAACATTAGTTGGGAAAATGAAAGATTTTCTTATTGATAAGCCATGAAATTAAATTCTCTTTTGATCTTTGCTGGAAACTATTATGCACATAGGTTTCTCTTTTCAGGGAAAATGGAGGATTAGTTGCATTAAACATCTAGAAAATAAAACAAAAGCATGACCGTTTTCCTAGGGAATAATGGTGTCATGTTATGATTTATCAGTATAATTTATCTGTGCATTGTGTAAAAAAGAAATCCTTTTAAAGGCTATTGTCAGGAATAATTAAACAGATGAAAAGTGTCTCTGTTAAAAGTAATCAACAAAGTTTCTTGCCAGTTGTGGCCAGATCCAAAACCTGTTGATGTCCGTGAAATGCCTTACACTGACTTAAGCTGGCTTTCATATTGTTCCATATAATCAATCATAAGTATATTGCATGAAAGGTGTTGTATTGTTTTACTCTACCATATCATAATGTAGGTATTATGTAAAATATTCAGAAGTTAGAGCAAGAATCAAAGAAGCTTATAAACCAAGTCTCACTATCAGTTATGGCTTTAAGCCAGGTTTTGAATGCATTTAGATGATTAAAGATCAGCTGAAGAATCTACTGGACTTTTCAAAATCATTCAATGTTTTCCTGTGTGATCAAAAGGACTGCAGGTCTGTGCATCAAAAGCTGGCTGTACACTCAAAATCACGCTCCTAGGTAAGTGCCCATTTGATTTGGAAAAGGATATTTAATCATTAAGTCACTAAGATGCCTTTGCAAATGCTGCTCTGAAAAAGCAGCTTCTCGTTCTAGGATACCTTTCAGAATATCAATAACTGCAATGTGCAAACTTCAGTCAAACTAGGACCCCTGTTGCAGCTGTGAGTTGTCTGGAATATATTCCAGAATATATGGCTTTATAGTAATATGACATAAATAATTCAAACCAGAAATTGTTCTGTTTTGTTAAATACGATTATTGTGCTGAATGAATTATGTTTTAAGATATACAAAATGTTTAAAAGTTTTTGGAAAAAAGTGCAAAAACATAGTAACAAGGACGATATCAGAAGCATGATAAAATAGAAAACTTGCTAGCTTTTGATAAATGAAGCAGAATAAATTGTTTTTCTTCACTATAGTTTTAACTCATGATACTGATGGTAATGGAAAAATATCTACAAAATCAGTTCAGCTTAAAAAGTTATTTAAATCCAATAACTTGTCTCAAAAATGTCCTGGGAAAAATCTGTATCAACTTCAAGAAGCAACTGAGAAAAAAGAATGTTACTTGTGCATCTGGGGTAACATTTGGAGGTTTCTAGAAGTGCTTCGTTGGCTGAGAGCTGAAAATCTGGAATCCGTGAAGCCAGTGTGTAATACAATGCTACCATTTGTGAAAAGTCTGTGTGATCAGATAGTCCCAGAAGATTCCTGGGTATGAAGTTTAAAGCTAAATAGTGAGTCAATGTAAAAGCAATTTAATGTTTAAAGCTATGGAATGAGGAACAAAAGCTGACAGATGTCCAAGACAAATGCAGCTCCTTTTTGGCAGTCATTTGAAGGCAAATTCTAGGACTTTCGTATACTGTCTTCAACCTATAATTTATGAGATGCAGTTTAATTGTCTTTATTTTCCATTGTGGACCTATGCAACTAAAAGATCTTTGCTTCCAGGCAGCATGTGGCATTTGCTACAGTCTAATTAATGACTCAGGCAACCTTAAAGACTCTATAGCGTTAAAATGCTCTGTATATCAAGAACACTGTTATTAGTCAGCACAGTTTGTATTTAAGCTCTCTAAAATGACTTTATTCCCAGGAGAAACTGTTTTACAATGGAAGCTTGATTTTTCAGTAACAAGGCATACCTGTGTGTACCTAGTAAACCTAGCATAATTAATGTAGCATAGCTTACAGGGATAATGCACACATGCAGTGTCAGGCATATGGGGAAGGTATGAAGTTGCATACACCCATTTTATTTTACTCATTCACTGCAAAAGGTGATCAATGAAACAGAGGCTTTCTTGCCCCCATCTCAAATATATAATCTTAAAAATAAGCAAGCAGTAGCAACAGCACTGCAACCCCCAGCTACCCACGAATGGCATTGTGTCTATTTGAAAGGCTACTTAAAGGGGTTGAATTCTGTACAGAGTCTTGATTTTACCTGTTAGCATTCATCAGCAATAATTGTGTCTAAACAGAGCATAGGTACTGGGAAAGTGAATACAAATCACCTCCACTAGAGAAGACTAGCCATCAGACCTCAGAGGTGAGGAACAGAGCTGCTTTTATGCTGATTTCTCTTTTATCTTTTTCTCTTTACTTTGAGGAAGGGAAAATGAGAGAAAACCCCAGCCGGTAAACGTGGAACAGAATATGCAGTGACTGTTAGCTGTAAAAAAGCAACTGTCCCATGCTGTCAAATTTGTACAATATGTTTTACTGTTGTCAGTATAAACAGCTACCTGGCCAAGTTCATTAAAAATAGGTTTAAAGCCTCACATAAACCTTCTGTTTCTCGCATGCAAAATCTTCAATGAATTTTAAAGGACGCTGCTGAAATCTTGATCATTTCTTTGCAGCTGAACAGCTGTTGAATGATGGCTGCTGGAAGCACAGTAAATGGCTTGGATTAAGAACTGGCTAAAAAATTACAAGGTAGGTATGAGGCAAAAGTAAACAATCAAGTCTTTATTAACATCAAAGGAGACAGTGCAGAGGGTGCAGAAATAGCTGTGGAGGTTGCCAGAGTCCCATATAGCTACTGGTAACCTTTGTGGGCTTTTCCACTTGAGGATGGCAAAGTGGTGAAAGTTATCCATAGTTCCAAGAGCATTTTGGCTGGGAAGATCCTAAGGTTTTACTCCCATGGAATTTAAATCTGTAATTTAATCTGAGATGTATTTGATTTTCATCCATAATCAAGCAACAGAAATGAAAAGGCCTTTTGTCTTCACTGTATCCATTACCAATAAGGAAATGGGGAAAGGCTGATTTTATGGAAAGTTATTTTGCAAACTATGGACATGGACTTGTAATTAAAGAACAGTAATCTTCACAGTCTCTTATTTGGCCCAGGACAGAGAATATACTCTAATATACTGCTTTCCTACCTACGGCACAAGGACAATCATAATGTTTATGTTTAGCTGTGGCTGACAGTATTGCTGCCTTTAGCTGCACTGCAGTTATCTTTAGACTGTAGCAGAAATGACCTACCTAATATCCCAGGCATCCTTTCCTTAAGGGTAGGGTAGACCTGGATGTCTCTGAAATAAGATAATCATGTGTATTATCTAATTCTGCAGTCAGCTGGAGGGTGGAAATTTGTACCTCCCAAAATGCTCTTCTCTTTGTGGACTGAATTATGTTGACAAGAGCCACTAAAAGCTTCAATGCGGTGCAGTTATTGCTTAGCTGTAAGTAAGTAAGTAAGATGAAGTAAGTAACATCAGGAAATGCTTTAGAACAGGAAGTGAAATAGTTAATATTTTAGAGGAAATGGTTACTTCAAGTTTAATGTACTTAGAGAGTTAGCTAAACTTTGATTTCTTCATTGTAAAAAAACACTCTAAAGTCTTTAATAACTTCAAAGGTTGAGGGCTTCAGTTTTACGGTAGCAGAATGCTGACTATGCTTCTCAGGACGAGTTCAAAAGCAAAAGCACAACTTGCTTTGATCAGAGAAAGCTCAATTATATTATGGTTCTAGTGAAATCTGCATTGCCTTGATAACTGCAACTGGCAAATTTTACCCTTCCATTCCTCCATCATGCTATGCAAAATAATCACTTTCTACGTATAACTCAGGAGTTAATAAATTCTCCTACATTTCATGGCCTTGCCTCTGATTTGTTATTAGAAGCTTAAGGTTTTCAGTATAGTGGTGGAAAGGCTTCCCTTCCTGCACATTCTGGCAGAAAATAGAAAAGGAAAAGAGGCCTTCTTAGGTTGTGTACCTGGGCCAGCCACTTCAAATTTTTGAAATCTGTAAATTATAGAACGTATTTTTGTTTCATTTAATACTGAGCAACTATGTTCAAGTCTACCAAGTCATGCCAATATTCACCAAGATAGTGAATTACATCTATGTGAGAAGGGAGAAACTGGAGCCTGCTGAGAACACAGAGCAAAAGGCTGCTATGACACAATTTAATGCCCCTCACTGGGAATAAATATCTGCCAAGAGGCTGCCTGCTTTTATAATCCTTAAAAAACCACAAAATACCTTTTATGACTGTGGGTAATCAATTGAAAGGAGATGCTGCTGAACTATTATCTCTTCCTTACTACAGGTCTTTTGCAGGTGAGACTGAAACACAGTGAAAGGCTTTAGACAAATTGGATTGGACACAAATCCTGAAACTGTGCAAGAAAAGAAAGGATGCAAAGCATCACAGGTCTTTACATAAATAATAAAGGTCCAGTAATTTGCGTATATTAGCACATGTCTGTCCAAGATATCATCTGTTCTGATGACAATTTCCTGAACTATCCCCATGTGACCTTGTCACTACATTTCCTGCCCAAGTCTGTTGCTGTGTTTCTACCTATCCTGTCTTCAGTCCATTCTCTCCTCCCCAGCTTGTTTTCATTTCTTCCCTTCTAAATTCTGTTCAATTCTATTCTCTATTTTTGTCAGTATTTTTTTTCTTTTTGTATTCTCCCTGTCACTGTCAAGTCTTTTTAACTTTCTGTCTTGCCCAGCTCTTCCCATCTCTTTTCTTCTGAATTACCCAGCTTTATTTTTCAGTGCCAAAGCTACAGAAACATGGGAGGAAGAATTTCTTCTTCTTGTTTCTCGAGCATGGTGTTAAATTACTCATGGCAATTGTGCAATTACAGAAAAAATGTATCTTTAGTTCAGGCTAGAAATTGCATATTCAACGCACTTTACTGTCAGGCTGTACGAAAAGCCTCAACTGTTCATGTGGGAACTGAAACTTTGGAAGCTCATATCTTAACCAAATTTGGGAGAATTTTTACACCATGACACTGCAGTGATGCTTTCCCTCTGCCAGATTTCAATTTCTTGCTCTTTAGTTTGAAGGTGTTAGAAGTTTTATTTTTTTTTTCTTTTTGATGGTTAAGTATTATTTGCTTACATCTTTCCTGAAATTGGCTCATCTCTTTAAGCTGATGCTTTCCAAGTCTTTCAGCTTGAGGCAAGCACTGGAAAATCCTAGGAATGGTCAACACTGTCAAAGTTATAAACAACTAAAAATAGGTCTTATCATGGAAGCCTTTGAATATGCTAACTGTAAGAGGTACATGTGTAAGAGACAGAACAGACAGCCTGGCTTTCTTTAGAGATACCTTGGCAAAGACCTGCCCATCTCCCTGAGGCAGTTCACATGCACACAGTTTCTAGGCACATTTCCAAAGAGAGAATTGAGTAAATGCTACTTCACAAGCCAGGACAGGATTGAAAAACTTGCTCTGTAGCCACTGTGCTCTCAGAGCAATAAGCAAAAATGAGAGGGTGAGACTGTGGTTTATATCCTCTTTCAGATCCCAGAGATTACTGTCTCCAGCTGCTCATCGCCACCTCTTTTGGAGTTCATAATCTCTGTTGATTTGCCAATGGCAGATACAAATGGTGGGTTAGACCAGCTGGAGAAATTCTGTTGTTTGGTTAGCTGTTGGTTGGGGATTTTTGTTGGTTGGGTTTTATGGTGTGTTTTGGGGGGGGGGGGTGGGAGGTTGTTTTTTTTTTTTTTTCTTCTCCTTGATTTTTGTTCTTTTTAAATCTGAAATAAAACTAGCGTAGTTACTATACTTTGGTGTAAAGGCCAATTTATGACTAGTTTCTTTACAAAATTCTCTGGAAATGTTAATGCTACCCAGTTCATTTTCAAGTGCTGGTAGATTAAGCACTACAGTGTTCTTAACCTCAGCTCCCAGCACAAAATCAATATGAGCCAATGGTTTTCTGATTAGCCCTATATTGATTTACCTTAATCTAAGTGTAATGTTTGTCCCTAGTAACAGTAATCCACCAGGAATGCCATGGCTTCCTCAATGATTCATTACATAATATTCTTCATTACCTTCTTTTTGTTGTATGTTTTTTATGGCATGGCTACAGTTCACAAGTAGTGCATGGGCACTTTCACCATGAAGAACCTTACTTTTAATTTAGTGGCATCATCATTAACATTAGTAAATTTTAAGACTTTTTAATAAGTGTCATGGTTTAACCCAACCAAACAGCTTGTTAACTCACTCCCCCCCCCCTTCTTGCCCTCCCCCTACTCTTGGAGGGACGGAGAGGAGAATAAAAAAGAATGCAACTCCCACGGGTTGAGATAAGAACAGTTTAGTAACTAGGGTAAAACACAAATCACTACTGCTGCCACCAATAATAGTAATGATAAAGGAAATAACAAAGGAAGAGAATACAACACCTCATCACCAGGTGACCGATAACTTGCCCCCCAGACCAATCAAGCACCGACCGATACCTCCTCCAACCCTGCAGTCCCTTCTAGCCCCTTCCAGGCCACTCCCCGTTACATCTTGGGCATGACGTGCTGTGGTATGGAATACCTCTTTGGTCAGTTTGGGTCAGGTGTCCTGTCTCTGCTTCCTCCCGGCTTCCCTCCTCCCTGGCAGAGCATGAGGCTCACAAAGTCCTTGGCCAAACCAAAACATCATTGTTTTTCAGCTCTGTTCCCAGCTGAAAGTCATAACACAGCACTGCACCAGCTACCAAGAAAGAGAAAAATGACTGCCACTGCTAAACCCAGGACAATGAGATATCTGATTTCTATTTTTGTGGCATGAACAGTTTTCAGGTTTTTAATACTCATGATCTGAATAAGAGTAGTTTCTAAAAAGATATGAGTATGGTATGTCATCATGGACAGGAGATGACTGCATAAGACTGTAGTTTTGCCTTCTCGAATTAGGTCTCTTGAGAAAAAAAATCCATCATGCCTATTAAAACCTAGTTATGCTATATCTGTAAAGGTGTCAAATGACTCAATAAGGCTTTTTATTTTGTCATGGAGTTTTATCAGGTGTGCTCTGATTATGTATACAAAACTTTCCCTGATCCCTGTTAGCCCTGTAAACACACCTAAATGAAAGTCAAGGTTTCTTTTTCAACCCTACTGCTGTTAGTAAGAACACCACAGGCTAAATTATGCCCCCATTTATTTCTTTCTTAAACTACATCTTTGGATGAACTTGTCCAAATCTGTTAGTTTTCAGCAGGATTTGCATAGGTGCAGCTGAGGACAGGCTGGCCTGCAGCAGTTTATACTACTGCAGGTGACAGCACACGAAAACATGCATAATCAACACATGACCTGAGCATCTCTGTCTTTTACCATTTGTTTTCAGTATCACAAAATGATATGCTTGTCACTGCTTCAATACAACTGGTTTAATACAAATGGAATAAATACTCTGTCACTGTAGCAAGAAAGAGTCTCTTTCTCTTCTAGATCAATTTCCTGCCAGTAGAATATTGCTAAATACTGACTTTGGTGGTTTGACTAGTTTTAAATTCTCCAAGCATCAAGGCATTGTTGTTATTTAAAGACTATTTCATTTTAATAACTTCTACTAGGGGGAATTTGCAGTTCTCCTAATTTTTAACTTTACATTAGCTGAGCCTGCTCATGTCACAGGGAGTAAACAACTAAAGAAACTTCATTCTCTGTTGTCAGCTCAAATTACTGTTAAAGCACAGCAAGTTGGTGTCCCTGCACTTACAGGAATCAAATTTCTTTAAGAGGTATGGAGCACCTACAAAGTGTATTTGGCTATGTTTTGCTTGCTTTAATCCCATTTAGCATCTTCACTTTAAATATATCTTGCTGAGAAAATGACTTTGGGTCCAAGACTGGCTTAGCAACTTTTGGAACTGCTTAATCAGGCAGCTTGAGACGTGTTTTGGGCTAAACCCAAATGATGAAATTATGCTATGGGTGCCTCAGTTCATACCTGGGAAATAATGACTATTTCAAATACAGTTACCATTCACTGATGGGAGAAGGAGATGAAGGTGAATTTATGCTTGCAGAATCAGCTGTGCTAGAGGAGGGGTTAACACCTTTGTGACTGTGGCAGGTGTGTAGCTGATTTCTGTGGGAAGGTTTTTTTGGGGAGGGAAGGTTTAAATTCTGCCTGCCTGGGTAAAAAGCTGTTCTAGTAGTGGTTTCCTGAAGGAAAGGTGCTTTTGTCTTGCCCTAGCTTTACTTTTTTTCAGTGGTTTATGAATAATAAATTAAATCAGAACATAGTGTTGCAGGTAAGACTGAGAATGGTTTTGTGTTTTGCAAAGTGAGAGGTGATATGTATGTATGCATATTTAATATTAGTTTTGGGGTGATACCAGCTGGTATAGAGTACTGGCAGCATGGTGGCCTGGGCATCCCCAGTTCCTTTGGGGTTCACCAGTTGGTATCTGCTTGGACCCCTGTCCCACTCATATGAGGTTGACTTGAGGAGTAGGCAAGTATGTTTGTCACTGTCTCTTCTCCTTAGTTTTACCTAGCTAAGAAGTCTTTATAGCAGTTTAGAGATGTTGCCTAAACCTTGACAGAGATAGCTAATAGGGTTACCCAAGGGACTAACTGGTTTTATCTGGGCCATGTGCTTCTTCTAGCGTATGCTGGCCTTGGCACAGGGAAATGTGGGCGCCTTCTGCTGTTGCAGCTTTCTTGGTCTGTCTACAGCGAAGGTGAGCTAAAGCTTAACCCTAGAGTTGAGGTGAATCTTATTACTAAGGTCTACATCAATCTCTCTGACAAGTGTGCTGTATACCTTGGTGCATTTCTACTGGATCCAAGTGAGTTATTTTTCCTATAGACAGTAATCTGCTTTAAATATAGCAAGCACCTACACAGCACATGAAGAGACAAGCAGGAACTTATGCCAGCATGCTTCAGCTATATATTAGTGGCATAGTTCTTACAAAAAGGCTAGCTCAGCAAATAGGAAAGAAATTATGTTTTGTCAATTGTCTACTGGATCTGTCTACCCTTATTATACATAGAAGGTTGCATAAGTAATAAATCAGGAGCGAGTAAATTGTATGAAGGCAGAAAGACAGTCAATCATTTCTAATCATCACATTGTGGTTGACAATATCTTTAGAAACTGCTTCTGTTATGAAGGGGATGAAGGGAGACTTCCTAGGAAAGTATCTACCCGCTGCTCTGCTTTTAGAGCCCTGATAATGCTAGGTTTGAAAGATGTCTTATTTATGGTTTGGTTTTGGTTTTTTTTTTTTTTCTTTTTTTCTTTTCTTCAAAAAATAACAACAAAAAAAGGTAAATCTGCCAACATGGTAGCTGGTTTAGGAGTGATTTGGGAACAAAGTATGTGGTAGAAAACCATTTGCTAGGCTTCAGAGAAGCAGAAAATCAATTTTACTCCTACAAGGGTACTTGTTATCTGTGGTGTGCATACTTACTGCCCATGTCAGTCCCTCATTTCTGTGGGCTCTTGGTTAAAGATATTATCTTCTTTAATGAAATTTAGTTCATTTTTCCCAAATGCTCTCAAAATCAATTACTATTTAATATACTAAATACACTTCTGTTTTATGTTAAAGAAGATTGATCTCATTACACTATGTGGAAGTGAACATATTTTATGGACTAAATAGAGAAACAAAGATCAGTAAATGCAAAAGGAGTATGTTTCTTTTGCCTTTCCTATCTACTTCTCCCATTAGCTGCTTTCTCATAGTGACCCTCCTTTTGCAATATTATCCTAACATATGTCAAGTTTCCTCTTTCTTCTTTAAAAACAATCTGAATATCAGTCAGCACTGCAAATGTTCCCATTCTTAATAGTGATATACCCTTTCTAAAACAATTGCTTCATTAGGCTTCTAGTTCTTTGCCTAAGGTTATGTATGTGATTTTACCTTTAGCAAAATGCTGTAAAGTTTGTTTAGTTTTTACACAGTGTAAAATGAAATGAAGTGACTTCAAAGGACAAACTACAACAACTGTTTAAGAGCCCAGCAGTACTGAAGATCTGTAGATCAGATCAATGTTAAATTGGGGCAAAGGCAGAAATAGATACAATAAAATTTCAGAAGCTTGTACTTGATTAGCAAATGGGTAAAAATTCATATTATTAGGATAAATAGCATTGGATTGTAAATGAAGAAGTCTAAATGTAAAGATAGGTGAAATTCTATGGTCTCTAAAGCTAATTTTTCTATTCTTAAAGGCTTTGCTGTGGTCAGGGTCTCATCCAGCTCTTAAATAGCACTGAGCTTAAGAAGCAGTGGACAAGTGCTTCAAACTGACTGTAGATATGCAATTTAAAGAAGTGAAACAGTGGGTTCAGTTGCAGGACTGGAGCCTTTGTGACTCAAATTCTCCATCAGCAAGTTTCTGTCCGTTTTGCTTTCCTGAGATGTGATCTCGGCTGGCTACTGTTCTGCCAATGATGCTGGGGCCTTGCTTGTGTGTTGATTGTTCAAATGGAGGGATACATTAGGCATGGTACTATTTAGAAGTTAAACTATGAAATATAAGGAAAGGTCAGTTTGTATAAAGAGCTTTTCTTCATCAGTACTACAGGGATTGTGTACTACTGCCTGAGACAGGTCAAATCATAGTGCCATATGAATACAGAATACAATACTCCTGTTTTGTTTCAGGCTTTAGGTTTGCTCTGTATCAGATACCAAATTTCTGGCTTATTTTAGGTGACCACAGAATTGAAGTGGGAAATGAGGAAGTGGCCTTCCTGCACATCAAGCTGGCTTAAAAAAAATACAACAGAATAAATATGTATTTAAATACTTCAGTGATTAACTCTCTTTATAATCTATGACAGCTTAATCTCACAAGATAATTGTGAGCAAATTTATCCTGAAGACACATCACTTTTAAAATCTGCAGTAAGAGCTGAGTCAGCAGCTGCTCAGCTTGAATGGTAGAGTGAACAATTCAGCGTATTTTTAGTCAGCGCAAACTGGTCAAAGAAACATCATGATCTTCTCAGAATTATTTATTTGTCCAAATCCATCAGCCCTTTCGGCCTTGCTCTTTCTTCTATCACACCTTATGGCATAGATTAGCAGTTGCGAAGCCAGGCACTGTGGGCCAGTTCTGTTTGTGCTGCACTGGTATGGCTTCATACAGTAAGGATGCCCCTTGACATCATTCCAATAGAAAGGAGAAAAAGCTGGTAGTTACGTGACAGGAGTCAGATTCTTGCTAGTGAGTTTTGCAGTACTAATTTGGACTTTATGGAATTTGATAAGTCACTGGCTGAGAAAAAAATTAATATTGCAATAAATCCTTGGCTAAGCATACGTTTCTCTAAAACTGTGTGCTTCACAAATCCACTTGCTTGTCGGTTGCGTCTAGGAACGATTCTTTTTAAAAACAAAGTGGCTACCTATTTACATAGTTTTGTTTGTCTTCAGCTTTTTGGCTTATCCTTGAAGGGTATCACTTGTTTTCTCTGCACCAGTATTAGCATTACACCGTGGGCAACACTTCAAAGAAACACAGTATAGGTACTCTTTCTCACTTTCATCTGTGAAAATCTTGATTTTCACACCCTTCTCCTTCATTTATCTTTGTTTCTGGTTTGTTGCTGCTGCATGCTCCTCTTTGGGCTCCTGCTATGCCACCTCTCTCCTCACCCTGTTGTGAGACTTCAAGCTGTGGTGGTGCCATGTTACTCTTCCCCATGAAAAGTCTAGCTCCAGGCGCAGACACACACAGATATTGTGGGGAAGAGCATTGCATGAAAACACATAAAATGGCTAAAAACAAGTGTTCGAACACAATTGCTGACAAAGTTAACAGGAGCGCTGAGTTGTGTCCCTGTGACTAGGCTAGGCCTAGTGGTGACGGGGCTGCCTCCAGCCTGGGTTGTGTGTGGCGGATACCCTGAGGGAAGGAGCAGAGGGTTGGGCTGGGGAAGGTGGGAAGGGAGGTTTGGAGGAAGTGTTCCCACTGGTGTTTCCAGCCCTTTTGCTTTTGTCTCTCTCATCCAGAGTGCTGTGGGCCTCAGAGATGGGTGTCACGGGCTGCCTTCCCTCATGCAGTTGTGTAAGATGGCTGTTGCTGTGGAAACTGCCTGCCAGCCTGAAAGTCACATGCTGCCTAAACTGACCACCTGCGACATATCTCACTGTGAGCAGAGCATGATCTGACAGCACAACCCCCCAGGGGACCTGTGCTTCGAGTAGGTGTGAGGCCTGGGGTGCAGGGCTCATCTCCTGAGCAGGGTCCTCCTTGTCACCACCATGACAGCCTCAATGGCATGCCATGGCTGAGGAGGCAAGCTGAGGAGGCCCCAGGGAGGGCAATGTATTGCAAACCTTTGAGAGCACTGACTGGAGAAGCTGGCAGTATAAATTTACCCTTGATCTCCTTTTGGAGATGTCCTTTAGATCTGTTTTGTGTGTTTGTTTTCAAGTGTACACAATACACACACTGTGTAAGTGAGAGCAGCACTGAAACCCATACCTCACTACCTAGGCCCCTGAAGGGGGTTGAGCATGACCATGGGGGTCCTGGAGGGCTAGGCACAAGCTGCCTTAGTACCTCACTAATGTGACTATTATTTCCTTTAAAATTATATTTTTTCCTGTTGATTTTTGCCTGCCATCTTGCTTCAAAAAAAAAAAAATAAAATCCTAAAGCAACGTACAGAAAGTCATGTAAAAAAGTACATGGTGAAGTGTGGCTTTAGTATAAGCTCACGAATGCTTAATCTTCTGTGTATTCAGTGTACAGCTTGGTTACTTAGGCAGCTGTCAGAAAACAAAAACATTCTGGAGTAGAATATATTCTTCAGGCATCATTTCACATTATATAGTTTGACCCCTCAATGCTTTAATAAGCTTCCCTTTTTTTACATTTTGTCACAACGTGAATGTAACTGTCTGATTGCAAACAAGATGTCTTTTAGTATTAGTTTCAAATCAGAGGAGTAGTTTGTGTTTGTTTTTCTATATAATGTTAAAATATTAGTATATCTAACTGCTTTCTGTGGCAGTGTTTCTACTGTGGATTTTGTTTCCAGACTTGTCTCTTTAATAGTTTTTTTAAACAGGAAAACATATAGTATGGTGAATTAGGTTACTTGAAATTACTGTTGATATCAAGTAAAGTTGTTTGAGACTGTTTGTATGTAAATGCATGACCTAAAAAGTTAGGACTACTATTGAGTGAAACCCTATGATTCCACCAGATAAAAGAGAAAAAAAAAAAAAAGTGCTTATTTTCTGCCTGAATGATACTGCTAGGATCACTGGAGAGATAA